TTTTATATTTATCGACATTTCCATTCCATAATTGACTGCGCTTGCTTCTGCGGGAAGACAGACACAGGGCTGCCTCCCGGGCAGGAGAGCGGGTCCCCGGAGTGGAATTTGCAATTGAAAACAAGGCAGGATGGATTTTTTTTTTTATTGTGTAAATATGATGAGTTGGATTTTCAGCTTCCGCCGGAGAACACCGGGTGTCCGGGCACCTCCTTCGAGAGCGAGAAAAAGGACGCGACCGTGGGACCACGACCCCCCAAAGGTGTCAATCAGGTGACGGGGAGTCAACTGCTTGTGAAAAAGCCGTGGGGAGCGTGTCCCGCAGGACGGCCGTGGCGGGGAGCTGGCCGCCGTCCCCTACGTCCACGCATCAGGGGTCCTAAGAGCGGCCTTGGTTTCTGCCTCTGATGAACCAGGACACGGGCAACCGGCGCCGGAAGCAGACACACACCACGGGGACGCAGCAACTGCCTGCCCAGCACACGGTCGGGCCACGGGGCTCGGTGGTTGAGCCTCGACCCATGAACCAGGAGGTCACGGTTCGATTCCCGGTCAGGGCACATGCCCCGGTTGTGGGCTCCATCCCCAGTGGGGGGCGTGCAGGAGGCAGCCGATCAGTGATTCTCTCTCATCCTTGATGTTTCTATCTCTCTCCCTCTCCCTTCCTCTTTAAAGATCAACGGGAAAAAAAATATTTCTAAGATGGGGTTCCTTCCATTCTGATCTGTGTTTGGCTTCTAACAGGTGTGCAGTGAGTTCCAACACAAGGTCACCCTGGCCGGTGTGGCTCAGTGGATAGAGCGTCAGCCTGCGGACTGAAGGGTCCCGGGTTCGATTCCCGGTCAAGGGCACATGCCCGGGTTGTGGGCTCGATCCCCAGTGTGGGCCGTGCAGGAGGCAGCCGATGCATGATTCTCTCTCATCATGGATGTTTCTGCCTCTCTCTCCCTCTCCCTTCCTCTTTGAAATCAATAATAAAAAAATATATATTTTTTAAAAAGTGGAGGAAAGAAAGAGCTAGAAGCATCGGGCTGGGGGTCAGGTGTGGGAAGCGACCCGCCCCCCCTCGGGGTGTCCCCTCCTTCCGTGTGTGATGCCCGAACGCCAGGCAGCCCGGCCCGATCCCCAGGCCCAGAGCGACCACCATCTGCCCCTCGATGCTTCTCCCGGGCTCTGAGCATCCGCGAGACAAGACACGCGGCCACTGCTCTTTAGCTGGTAATTACGTCTGCCCGGGGCAGCACTTAAGGGAAAATGAAATGTGAAGGAAGGACCGTTACCAAGGGGCCGGCCTGGAGCGCCCGGAGGAAGCCGGGCACAAACCGTTTCATTTCTGAGCCTCCGAAGGAAATGAAATCACATTAATTTGTGGGCCGAGTCTTGTTCTTCTAATGCAGCTCCCAGCCGGGCAGGGAAGGGATGGAGGGAGGGAGGGAGGGAGGGAGGGAAGGAGGGAGGGGGGGGAGGCCAAGCCAGGGACTGGGCTCTGGAAATGGGTCCATTCGCTGCAAAGACGGGGGTCCCGGGGTGGACACGCTAAACGAAAAATGTGAGCACCCCGGAAGTCAGACCCACGGAGACGGGATTCCCTCAGGGTTTGGGGGGGGTGAGGCCCGGGACACAGGGACGGGGAGCTGCTCGAAATGGGTCCGATTCGCACAAACTCTGAAAGGGGGCCGGCCTCTGGTTTGATGGGGGGAGTTGCGGTTTATTTAACGACACAGGCAGCCGGGGGGGTTGGGGGAGGCGGCCTTTCTCTGCAGGTCTGTGCGGCTGCGATTTCACATGAACATTTACGCCTGCAGAAGAAAATATTTCTAAGATGGGGTTCCTTCCATTCCGATCTGTGTGTCGTTCTAACAGGTGTGCATCGAGTTCCAACACTAGACGGTCGCCCTGGCCGGTGTGGCTCAGTGGGTGGAGCGTAGGCCTGAGGAATAAAAGGTTCCGGGTTCGATTCCGGTCAAGGGCACGCACCTGGGTTGCAAGGCCGATCCCAGGCCCTGGTTGGGGCGTGTGCAGGAGGCAACCCATCGATGTGTCTCTCTCCCATCGATGTTTCTCTCTCTCCGTGTCTCTCCCCCTCCCTTCCACTCTCTCTAAAAATCAACGGAAAAATATCCTCGGGTGAGGATTAGCAAAACAAACAAACACACACACAAAACGCCATTTATGGCCGGACGCTGAGGGTCCTGGGTGCTGGCAGGGCCTGGCTGAGGCCGAGCTGTCCACTGACTGGGGTGATGGCCGAGTAGGAACAGTGCCGTCCACTCACCAGAACACGGAGTCCCGGGCCTTTATTTCTTTTTATTTTTTTAAAAATATATATTTTTATTGATTTCAGAGAGGAAGGGAGAGAAAGATAGAAACATCCATGATGAGAGAGAATCACGGACCGGCTGCCTCCTGCACGCCCCTCACTGGGGATCGAGCCCGCAACCCGGGCCTGTGCCCTGACCGGGAATCGAACCCTGACCTCCTGGTTCCTAGGTCGACGCTCAGCCACTGAGCCACGCCGGCCGGCCCGACGGCAGATTCTGACTCAGTGGTTGTTCGGACCCCTCCGAGCCCAGCAGGCCGGCCTCGGCCGGGTGTCTGTGACCCTGCCCGCAAGGACAGACAGGCCCCCGGTCACCATCAGCCGGGGACACGGTGCGGCTGCGAGATTTCCTCCGTCACCCGCCGCCGGCCGCCCTTTCCAAGCCCGAGAGGGCTCCCGACCCCGCGACAGCCCTGCCGCTGGGAACGTGCTTCGTGCGAAGACGCCGCTGGGCACCCGCCTCACCTGCTGCCCGGTCACCAGGGCGATGCAGCCGTCCTTGCCGTGGACCACCTGCCGGAAGAGGTGGTCCAGGATGAGCAGCTCGCTCCAGCAGTTCTGCAGCAGCTTCATCTGGTCGTCCACCTGCGGAGACAGGAAGGCGGCCCCGTGAGCCACTGCGTGCGGGTTCTCGCGTCATCACCACAAAAAAGAACTATTTTTTTTTTTTTAAAAATGATTGATGTCAGAGCGGGAGCTAGGCCCTTGCCAGTTTGGCTCAGTGGGTAGAGTCGAGGAGTGAAGGGCCCCCCGGGTTCGATTCGGGGTCGAGGGCGTGCACCTCGGTTGCAGGATCGATCCCTGGGCCTGGTCGGGGTTCAATGGGGAGGCAGCTAATCGATGTGTCTCTCTCACATCGATGTTTTTCTCTCTCCCCCTCTCCCTTCCACTCTCTCTCTCTCAAAAAAAAAAAATCAATGGAAAAATATCCTTGGGTGAGGATTAACAAAACAACAAGCCCTGGCCCGTGTGGCTCAGTGGATAGAGCGTTGGCCTGCGGACCGAAGGGTCCCAGGTTCGATTCCGGTCAAGGGCACATGCCTGGGTTGCGGGCTCGGTCCAACGTGCAGGAGGCAGCCAATCCATGATTCCCTCTCATCATTGATGTTTCTATCTTTCTCTTCCTCTCCCTTCTTCTCTGAAATCAATAAAAATATATTTTTAAAAAATCAGACAGCCTTAGCTGGTTTGGCTCAGTGGCTAGAGCGTCGGCCTGTGGACTAAAGGGTTCCGGGTTCGATTCCCGGTCAGGGCACATGCCCGGGTTGCAGGCTCGATCCCCAGTGTGGGGCGTGCGGGAGGCAGCCGATCCATGATTCCCTCTCATCATGGATGTTTCTATCTCTCTCTTCCTCCCGGAAATCAAATAAAAATCATATTTTAAAAAATCAGAGTTCTAAAAGAAACAAACAACAACCACCACAAAAACAGGAAGGGAGAGAGAAACATCCATGATGAGAGAGAATCACGGATCGGCTGCCTCCTGCACGCCCCACACTGGGGAGCGAGCCTGCAGCCCAGGCCTGTGCTCTGACGGGGATCGAACCCCCGACCTCCTGGTTTGGGCTGAATCTGTGTCATTCTTTCACATAAAGCCGCTCACTACGGGAGGTTTTCTCAGACCACGTTCTGCCAGAACCGGCGGGCACTCCGGAGTAGGGGATCATATTCTCTGGACAAAACCTCCTTCGCCCACAGAGAAGTCCTCGAGCTGAGGATTTACGATCAATGAGCTGCTGGGTCAGAGGGAGGCCTCCATTAGCCCATCTCCCCAGCGCTCATCGAGCTCCGAGAGTGAGCCTGTGGGAGCGGCGAGCGCCTGGGCCTGTCCTCCGTGGGCCCCGTCGGAATGACCCCAAATAGCCCGCGGGTCTTACGCATCTCGACGCCAACTCATCGAACCGAGACACCGAGACACCGCCAAGCTGCCCGGCCGGAGGATTTAGACCAGCGGTTCTCAACCTTCTGGCCCTTTCAATACGGTCCCTCGTGTTGTGGGGACCCCCAACCATACAATTATTTTCGTGGCTACTTCATCACTGTCATGTTGCTACTGTGATGAATCGTCATGTAAATATCTGATCTGCAGGATGCATTTTCATTGTTACGAATTGAACATCATTAAAGCATCGTGATGAATCACAAAAACAATATGTAATTATATATGTGTTTTCCGATGGTCTTAGGCGACCCCTGTGAAAGGGTCGTGCGACCGCCAAAGGGGTCGTGACCCACAGGTTGAGAACCGCTGGTTTATAGGCAAGACAGTTCACGGGACGGTCCAGCGACGTTCGGGGATGGGGGCGCCGCCATGGTTTGCTGTCGGTTTAAGAATATGTTTCTGTTGATTTTTGTTTTAGAGAAAGAGAGGACGGAGCCACTGAGCCACACCGGCTGGGGCTGACAATGGTTTTCCTTGGGGAGAGGGGCAGGAGGAGAAAGCCCACCTGGACTCTGGCGTGGACTTCCCGGGTGTTGGTGCCGTCCACCAGTGTTTAGGGGGGCCCCTTGGGAAGGGGGGGCCCATGGTGTGGAACTGCTCCGTCTCCCCAAACCTCTCCCCAGAACTAGCCCTCCCCCCCCGCAACCCCGTGTTATCAGCGGCAATAAAAAGCGAGGGCTGATCTCCAGCCCCGTCGTCCCCGGGAAAAATATTTTATCTCGACGGCGTGGACGGGGGAACGCGCCAGCAAAGGGAACCCACCTGGCATTGTGTGGGGTTGCGGGCCCCCAACCCAAGGGTTTCTCATAAAAAAATGTTGCCCTCGTCAGGACGGGGTGTGGGGGGGCGGCAAGGGGGAGACGAATTGCGGCCAAGTCGCCCCCTCAGTCGCCCCCTCCCTGTCCCTTTCCACCATCCAGCCGCCGATTTGGGGTTCGCGAGTGCTGGGGGCATTGAAAGTGGCCATGGAGCCCGGCCGGCGTGGCTCAGTGGTTGAGCGTTAACCTATGAACCAGGAGGTCAGGGTTCGATTCCCGGTCAGGGCACACGCCCGGGTTGCGGGCTCGATCCCCAGTGGGGCGTGCAGGAGGCAGCCGATCCGTGATTCTCTCTCATCCTGGATGTTCCTCTCTCTCTCTCCCCCTCTCCCTTCCTCTCTGACATCAAAACAAATACATATTTTTTAAAAAATCAGTGGCTATGGGTTTGGTGGTGGTGGTGGAATATTTCCAGGGCGGGGCCAACGTGGGTTGACAGCACTTTGCGTGGGAAATAACTAATAAATAATCCGACAGGAATCCCAGGTACAACTGTAATCCTCCGTCTGCCCCCCCCCCCCTTCTATTAGCTAAACCATGGCCGCTCACGTCTTTACATTTTAAATGATGGGAAATGCGGAGGAAGCATCAGATGAGGATTGCTGAGAGGAGTATTTGAATTACAGATGAGAGTGTGTGTCACTTCAGAGGAGGCAGCTTCGGCATGAACCCCTCAGGACGAAATTCACCGCTTTGAGTTCCAGAAATGCAGGAAGTCCCTTCTCACTCCGGCCAACCCTCCCTCTAGGTAAACCTACAGGTAAACCCGTGAAAGATGCTTCTGTGTCGACGGAAATACCATTTGATGTTGTCGATGGCCGGATACCAAGTGACCCCTAGAAACCTGAGTTCTAAAACAAACCAAAAAAAAAACCTGGTAGAAAAATGGTGACTTTTTCCCCTTTAAATGAAAAAAAAAAAAAATCAATGTTATTTAAAAAACAAAACGAAACAGAATTCCACCATCCCCAACCTTCTAGACTGAAAAGCTCAGAGGCACGTGTACAGCCTGAGTTTCGTTTCTTGGGTCAGAGCCGCCCTCCTAATTTCAGGGGAAAATACACACAAAACCAGCACGCGTTCCAGGCAGCTTGCATACCTTTTAACACCCGATTAATAAACAGAAAAGCTTTGTAGGCGCACGGCCCGTGTTCTGGGGGCGTCTGTCCGAAGGCTGACCACGAATTACGGGCGCTGCCCCCACGCGAATCGCTCACGCAGTCGCCACGGGTGCCGCCGGGACGCGCGGGCGTGGGAATTCTCTCTCCCTCACGCAGCGCGCTGCCGTCACCAGTCTGAGACGTTCTGATGTGAACTCAGGTGATCGCAACACGTTATTAAAACTCCTTCCGAGGAACGGATTGACTTTTCTGTGTATCCGAGACACAGAAAGGACCTCTGTGGGTTGTTTGTTTTTTTTTTCCAGTTGAATTCCTATTTTGGCAGGTCATGGCTATTTTTTATTATATTATTATTTATATATCTATCTATATCTATCTATATCTATCTATCTATCTATCTATCTATCTATTGATTTCAGAGAGGAAGAAAGAGGAAGAGATAGAAACATCAATGAAGAGAGAGAATCATGGATCAGCTGCCTCCTGCACACCCCCCACTGGGGATCGAGCCCACAACCCGGGCATGTGCCCTTGACCGGAATCGAACCCGGGACCCTTCAGTCCGCAGGCCGACGCTCTATCCACTGAGCCACACCGGCCAGGGCGTCACTTGCTGTTTTTTTACAAAGACAAATGGGAAACACATCACGAACTGATACAGAGCATCCTGGTGGGAAACATCTCGCAACAACAACAGAAAAAAAATCCCTGTTTTGTTCTCAGGGGGGCCTTGCCTGCATAGTAAACACGGCCCTCATGTCTCGAATGCAAACACGTCCGTCCTTTACAAAGTGCGTCTCCCGCGCACGCGCCTGCTCTCAGCCTCGGTCCCCGTAGCCAGAGCTTTTCCAAGACCAACGATGACAGACGTCCTCCCACCGACGGGCTTTGGGGGGGCGGGGGCGGCTGGGGGAGCCGTCGCCTGCCTGTCACCCGGGTGCCGTCCCTTCCCCAGGGGGCCCTCTCCGCTCTCCCTGGCATTTAGGCCGAAAGAAAGCTCAGGGACAGAGTCTGTCCACGGAGAAACCAGAAATAAAAGCCACCCGCCACCTGCTGGGAAACGGGGGCCACTCCCTCGGCCACCCCCCTGCCCCCCACACCCACCCCGTGACCTCCAGCTCGTCAAGATTTAATTAAGGGCATAATTAAGTCAGCGGCACGGAACGCTAATGAGCGTGTTTCTGTAATGCGGGTAATTACACGCTCACATACATGAGCCCTTAGCAGGCCGGGGTCTGGGATGACAGAGCGGGGAGCGTGCCTGGCGGGCGGAGGCCGGGCGGCAGGAGACACAGAGCCGACCCAGGTTGAATGAGCTGAGGCCGCCCGTTTACAGGGCCTCACGCTGCCAGCATTTGTTATTCTAATTCTGCAACAATAAGCGGACCCCGTAGGATGGAGACCCTGTTGCTCCCTGGGCTTTGAAGCGTCCCTGCCTCCGGGCGGGCGATCTGTCCGGCTGCCAAGGAGCCAGCCCAGCCCAGCCTTGGGCTGCAGGGGCCCGGCCGGCGGAGGTGGCCCTAGGAGCCTGGACAGATGTGCCGGCCGGGCTCCTCCGCGCTCACAATGAGCCTCTCTGCTGCCAGCAGAGCCTTTGATGGGGGCCCGGCTGTGTGGGGCGGGGACACAGCCCGCACCCCGGGGGAGGGTCAGCCCGCACCCCCGGGGGGAGGGTCGGACGGCTGACGCGAAGTTGGTACCATT